CTAGAAGCCTATTGTCTAGGTCCATTCTTGTTTCCCTCATTGCTTTCAATGGAACGGTTTATCACGATGGAGTCGTGCAATCAACGTGCCGGAATCGTAAAACGAGCAGAAACGTGCATTGTCTGAAACGTTGAGTCCGCTTCTCGCTCGAATCTCAGGCTCTCCGGTGCAGACCGAGTCACGACTCCGCATGCCAAGCAGACAGCTGAATGAGAGAAGAAGGGGGGGAGGGAAGAAGAAGGAAGAAAGAAGTGTGAAGTGACCCGTCGGGATAAGCGGGATTATAAGAGTTATGAATGAGGGAGGTTTAGAAGGATGCAAGGACTGGGTCACGATCTCAACAGGGCGTGGGTGGTGGCCGGAAAACAAGACACGTGTTTGGAAACTATTCAACGATCCCATCTCGAGACAAGGAGATAATGGAAAATCCTTCTTCTGGACTGAGTGGGTGGAATGGAGCCGAACCCACTTGCTTTTTTTTATTGTGTTAATGTGGCATTATCGTCGAGTCCTCCCCTCCCATTTCGTGTTTTTTTCTTTCTTTTATTGTGATGGCGATATTTAATCAGTTATCGGCGTATTCAATCTTTTTTTGCACTGATTTCTTTTGTTAATATTCGGATTCCTTTCGCAATGCTGGAGCAGTCAATGGACCCAGTCATTAAAATCAGGGACCGGTCCTGCAGTAGCTTCCTGTTCGCCAGCTCGACGAGGTCTTTTCCCTCATGAACCCGATTTCTTTTCTTTTTTTCCTCCCATCCGTCTGCACGTTTTTCTATTCCTCCTCCGCTGTTCCTTGCACGGAAGGAGGACCCGGAACTGCTATCACACTTCTCACTTAGTCGGATCTGGGTCTCCAGGGGGAAGGACAAGTAATCACTGCATGATGATATACCTGTTTAAAAATGAGGCTATCCCGTGTTACGACGTCGTGCATGACATTCCGTTCCTTCCATGGTTCTCTTCACTGGTCTCCTTCACGAATTGAGCAAAAAAAATCGAACGGGATCTGCTCTTTTTCTCTCTCTCTCAAACGCGTGAGATGTCCGCATGCATGCGTGGAGTGCCTAAAAAAATAAGTCACTGATTTCCTATGAGGAAAGAAGCTGCATATTTTCGTATGCCGAATGCTGCTGTAGCGTGACAACGATGAACGAAGAAGCTTTGGGATCGCTAAAGAAAAAAAAGCACTCAATGCACTGCCTATCTCATCTTGTGAAGCCACTCGATGAAAGTTTTTTCCTCCTGGGCACGAGTTCTTCAGAGCCATGAGACAGTCATTGCTTGATAACCTTGATTGCCTTGATAGCCTTGATGGCTCGATCTTCCAGTCAACAGGATTGGGTGGGATCATTCCCGACTTTTTTTTGCCATTGTTGTCACTTCGAGATTCCTTTGCATCTGCGAGCAGTTGAGCTTTTCTTTCGCACCCAGGAAGCCTCTGAAAGGACCTTAAGTGATACAAAGGCCGCCCGGTCTGCGAAGACACGCCTCGTTGCTCGCCGAACCGAAAACCAATTCAGATATAGAAGATACTTCGGGGGAAGCCAATCACGGGGTCCTCATGCCGATAAAAGAAAGGATTTGCCGGAGAGATCCTTTTCTTCCTCTCTTCGGCTAATTAGATTCATGAAATCAGATTCATCTCCATAAGGTCGTTGCACTGGGCATCATGCATGTTCCGCTCCACTGATACCTCTGTCCCTTTTTTTTTTCACTTGAGTCCGTCTCTTGTGTGAGTGTCCGTGATGGGTTATGGGGGGTGTAGTATAAAGCCAGTACAGTTACGTCCTGTGTCATTTGATACCCTCCCTTCAGGTATATAAACAAGATCCTTATCGGCTTGGATTTGAAGAGACTGTTCTGGATTGAAGGCGAAGCCTGGCTTCGTCTCGTGACATCGCCCACTATTGTTCTCTGGAGATGCGTCTCTGGGAACTTTTTCCCGAGCCGAATGGTCAAACTGAGATTCCGTTCAACCTGTTCTATGATGTACTTTCTTAAAGTGTCGTTCCGCTCTACTAAGAACGAGACGCGTATAATACTGTATACTGGTTCCTCATGCGCAAGCCGGCGTGTTTTCACGGGCAACTAGCGACGGATAATTGGTGAAATGTCCAGACTTGTTGCATTAAAAAACGAGGGAATTCGAAAGTAAGGAGCCCAAAAAAAATAGCTAGTGAGGAATGGATGGAAGGAATCGTGAGGTGTCACACGCGAGAAAAGAATCGACACAGGCGAGGCCAAGGTGTTCCCCTTCATCACGTGTGCATCGATCGACGGGAACGGAGCGTTGCATCAGGTTCCCTCGTGTAAGCCCTGGAGGAGGAGAATTTTCGCGGCGAGGCGCTCCCGTGATGACGAGATAAGTGAGAGCACCCGGGAATTACACCTTGACCCGTAATCAGATGGGAGATGAAAACAAGATGTCCCGAGTCGCTCTCACGATCCCTTGTTTCATTACAAGGGCAGATAAAAAAATTAAAACAATATAAATATAATAAAAAAAAGGGATGCGGAACGGCTGATGGACCTTGGAAACCTTTCGTGCGTGTAAGACCTTGACAATCCATTCCCGAATCGGGAGTAGCAAACATATACGCCTACAGTGTCTATGGAGGAAATTACGATCCTATAAATCTCCTCTCCCAAAAAATCAATCCTTATCTCTGGAGAGGGGGACACACCTGGGACTCATTTTCTTTCAAGGCGCCACCTCCATCATGACGAAACCCCGTCTGATGCCGTGCGATATGGCCGTGTTACTTCGGCGAAGGTGACTTGTGAAAGTATGTCGCGGTTCGGGAGCTTCCCGTCGTTGACCTGTGACCCGGGGGCTGGACGTACAATGTGGTACACGGTGGGTGCTTCTCCGCGGAGCTGCTTGTAATTGGAGCTGACAAAGGGGGACTTTGCTCCTGCAACGCTCCTTTGTTCGAGTAGGGGAAGGAGGGGGGCATGGGGGACGAAGGGGGGGGGGGGAGGGCGGGGTAGAAAGAGGGCGTCAGGTGATGACGTTATTAACGTCATCAGATGGGTCCTGCAGTCTCATCTCGCCAATTTTTTCCCTTTCTTCGCGGGGTGCTTCCCTGGGAAATTACCTTACGAGCGATTTCCTCTCTTTCTTCGTGTGGAAGAGAAAGAAAAAAGGGGTTCTGCACGGCTGACGGGGCATTCATTCTGGTGCGACCGAGTCGACCCCGATCGTCGCGATGACCCGAAGCCGAATTTTTAAAGGAAGAGGGGACGCCTGTACGTGATAATGGTATAATATAGTATATGCGTTTATGAGAAAGGCGGAAGGTTTTCTTTTTTATTTCTATAATGTCCCGGCTGGCTCTGGATGCCCCCAGGGGTGAGTGCATTCGGGGTTCGTAGACCCCTGGCAAGACAGATACACACACGGGACGAGGGGGGGGGGGGGGGGAACCCCTGCGTTTTCCGCTTCACCGATCGTCATTACTTTGTATATCACCTCTTGGGACAAAAAGGCGTGCCCTAATGGAAGGCTCTTCTTTCCTCACCGTTACTTCCGTGGAAAGGGGTTGGGAAAAAAAGATTTGTGGACGAAGTAACTCTTTTCTTGAGGGCTTGCCCCGGAAATGTGACGAGTACTTGAATCGACACGTACCCGTTGTGGGTACATACGGGGACTATTGGTATGTAGATTACACGGGGGGAATGACATGGTCACGAATGTTTCCCTTTGTTTCTCTCCCTCTGACCTTTGCCAAACTGGTTTTTTTTTTCTCTAATATATTTTTTTCCCGTTCGTCTCTCGATGATAGGCGAAGATGCTATTCATGTAAAGAGATTTATAAGGACACCCTCAGGCTGCATAAACATCCACAGATAACCTTTAAGTGTATGTGTCGTCCGCGTGCTGGGTGTCTAGGGTTCAGGATTCGACTGCTTTTTCGTCAGTGCTCAGAAGCGGCCACGAAATTTTGGTGGAACTCTCTTCACGTTGTAGTGCATCTGGGTTCGAGGCGAGTTCACGTAGAGCCCTGCAAGGTAACTTCAGCATCTCAAATGAAGTCATGCAAGACGGTATTTCCATCTCTGGTGATGGGTACAACTGCTGAGATTTTCCATCGAGAAAGGAACATAAACTTTAAGTTTTGACGTTGATGACGCTCCTGCCCGGTTTGAGTACGGTTTTTTGGGGGCAGAGGGGTAGGGAGTGGGGGAGAAAGTAGGTGAAGAAAATACGTTGATTTGTAATTACTTTAATCTCATAATTGGTCAGAAATTAAGTTGCTTCTCTTTTATATGAAGACCCGATTAAAGTCTCAACTACTTTCACAATCTCTGCGCGCTTCTTCGGATGTATGATTTTGCTGGACGTGCGCCCAGAAGCGCGGAAAAGAAAGAAAGCACTGCCTTTCGTTTCTCCGCGACGTTGTCTTGCCAATTGTGTGCATTTGGCATCGCCATTTGTCAAAGTGTAATTCGAGACATCGTGCACGCTCTGTGGAAAAGCGAGTGGAACTTGGGCTGGGTGCCTAGCGCGAAGACCGATGGACAAAATTAGTTACCGAATGGCAACAAAGAGAGGGGGAACGCGCCCAAGGGGAATACCAAGGAAAGATGGAGTGGTGAAACGAGAAATTTTGAAGGAGCGAAATGAACTGGAGGAGAGGATAAATGACGTTCACAGGGCTTCGTCCAGCAATGATGATGATGACAATGATGATGCTGATTAAACTTTAATCTTAAAAATAGGTATTAACTCCTCCATCAAGTATCAGAAAAGTACAGCTAGCAGGTGATCGTGATTTGTCCGTCAAGTAGTCGCTACTTTGGCCGTAATTAATTTACTACCTTTCTACCAGTCTGACTATATGTGTAGATACGTGAATAAATACCTTACAAAAAAAAACTTTTTACGTATTTGTACATAAAGAACATTAATACCTAACAAAACAAATACATAATTTATATTTTTGTTTGATATATATGTTCTATGTTTCGCTTAACATATTTTATTTTTGTTTTAGGGGGTGGGATTTTCGTGAATGCTGGGGATGCGAGAGCCAGCTTTTCACCACCTGACGTGGACGACATCCTACCCATCCGCCTACCTGCGGCTGAAGGAGAAGCATGCCTCCCCGTCGTATAACGTCATTCGACGTCGCCGAACCATGGGAGGTGAGTCTTGTAGGGTTCAAGTCCCCCCACCGCGAGGGAACGCCGTATGACACAGCCTTTGTGGGCGGTCCCATCAAGGGGACGTTATAACGGGCTCGCTCAGTCTCCCTCCTTGATATCCCTGCAGCAGCTCGAATTTTTCTTTCTCTCTTGCTCTGATTGGAGGAGTGTGAAATTGATGGAGCCTGGAGACCCTTGTTTACTACCAAGTGCAGCATCTCCGGGGTCTATCCCGGATAAACATGGACCATCTTTCATCCCTAATAGACGGGAAGATTCATCGCCTCCTCGGCACCCTCTGGCTACTTTTTTTCTCGCCTCATATTTCGACACTTTTTCAGAGTTTGCCAGAATATAGTTAATTGGGATTCAGAGAGGATCACGCATACCTGACTTAATTTTCCCTTGTGCATGCGTAGCCAAAGAATGTACATTCAGGAAGTTCCAATTATCGTCGGCGAAAATTTTTTGTCCCGATCGTTCTGAACGACTCAAGCGTATTAACGAGTCTCCATGGATAGCGAAAACAATGTGAGCCTCGAATAGTATGTGCATCGTGGGCGTTGAGTGCAATGGCATGATGGAAGAAGAGTGTCGAAGGCGTGATAAGGACGAGAGTGTTCTTTTTCATCCATCCATCCTCCCTTTGTTCTCTGTGATGCAGTCGACTTAGATTGGATAACGGGATGCCGTTCCCTCCTTGGTTTTTTCTTCATACCCTTCCTCATGCCGCAGACATCCTGTGTGCCCTTAGGGTATCTCTCAAGACCTTCCGACCGGTTTCCCAAGGAGATCTTTTTATGCGACATCTATATCAGATGCGTAAAAGCACGGAGTGCGCAGGCGACCGCCTAGATGGCGCGGAGAGTCTGTCGTGCCTCAGAATGGTAGCTAAAGTCGAGCACTTCTTCCCTCGTTGTCACTAAACTCTGATTCTAAGACTGCATGTGGTTTGAATTTTATTTTCTTGCCCGCGCTGCGCCATCGCAAGAGCGGGAAAATTGGTTTCACTCGTCTGCGGGTTCTGGATTAATTTATGAGGGTGCTGAAGTATCTTGCCGCTCAATTTCCTATGACATCAGAATAATTTTTTTCGTTCTGGGTAATAGAAATTCTTAATAAATAAAAAACTTGCAAGGATGTTGCTGCGATAGTACGATTGGTTTGGCTTTTAGAACTTTTTTTTAAATGGGTGCATTGCTTTTTTTCCCCTCATACTTTCAATTAAAATCTCCACTCTGCTGTGTCCGAAGAAAATGAACATGCAGATCTTTGATTGGCATGCAGATTGAGCATTTCTCGAATAGCTTCGTAGTTCGGATTATGATATAGCTTAGGCAAGAGCTTTGACCCGCTTTCTCTGTTTAAATCTATCCTTTCAGACGTCAATATCACAAGTCGCATTATTATCGTGACTGCTCCCACACTTCAATTAGCGTATCACAATAAAAAAATATGTCTCACAAAATTTGCATAAAAACTCTTAACCGTCGGGCAATTCCCATTGTCTAGTGTTGTGGTCATCCATGACGAAATCACGAAATAATGCTGAACCGCTTCACAAATTGAGGATTATAAACAGTAACCGTTCTCTCGTTTCTCTAGGGCCTCTTATCATCAGAATAGCTCGCTCAGAAGTACAGTACGTGTTAAAATCATTGGTTAATCCTGAATATCGCCAGGAACGAGGAAAATCAATAGTCATGGTACGATGCGTGATAGTGGATACCGGTCTAATTGGTTCCTTTGAGAGAAATGTTGATAGTGGCGCGTACCTTAACATGCCTGCGAACGAGGTCGTCCCCATACGGTTACCTTTGGACAACGATGACTCGCGGTTTCAGCGAGTCACCGTCACACTTTTTTGGTGGCTGTAGGACAGTAGCTGAATGAACCTGCGCGATTCATTGGACGCCAAATGGTCGCCTGACATTAAATGGTCACCAGACGTCAAATAGTCACTGGGCATAAATCCATTTGAAGTCATGTTTGTATGCAACCAGGTCACGAAACCTGGCTGAGCTCCAGCGATGGACAACGATTTATGGTTCCGTATTGGTTGTAGAAAATGTCCACAAGGAACGGTTGTTCAGCCTTGAGACCTGCTATGGTGTCGGTGAGCTCATCGAGCATTCATGCGATCCATATGATTGCATCTTGTGATCTCGTTTCGTGAGGCGAATAATCACTATATGATTCCAGACTTGATTCATGCCGTATATCAATACGAGCGGTTCCGCGGAAGACAATGCCTGTGGTATGAGATCGAGTCCCCCTTTGATTTATGGTCTCGACTGAGGAGGACCGAGAATAACCGTAGTTTTTTTTTGTCAAATTGATCCAATTTCTTTTAATTGGATCCGGTTGGACTTTTTTTTGTCGCTCGAAGCGTAAATGTACCGGGAAGAACTCGTCTGAACTTCTCGAGGAAGTCATACCCTTAGTACATTTTACTCCTTAATTATAGTTAGCCTTCACACTTTGTCGGTCTTTTTTTTTTAGGTTTGCGGATAATTTATTATATACAAGGAGGCAGTAATAGATCCAACCTCCCAGGTAGCAGAGACGGGACAGACCATAGGATTATAATTAGCCTACCCCAATAGTCCATTTAGCTCTACTTCTTTTCCGTGTTTCAGATTTTTTAATACTGATTTTGCAATATTGCCGAAGTTGATTGATCGAGAGGCTCGTGATGGTGTGGTGGCCAAAAGGCATCACGAGCCGTTTCATCAACGTGCCGCACCTTCTCTCAGTCGTTCAGTTTCGGACATGCCATATTGCAAAATCTGAAAAATCTGAAAAATGAAAAAGTATCACAATTAAACGGGCTATTAAAATACTGTGATCCGTCACAACTCCACTGGCCAGGGGGTGCATATATGATTGCGGCCTCATAGGTCTCCAGAAATGAGGAGGAAAGGATTAGCGCCTGTTACTTCCCCCTCCTTCTCCTTCACCGTGAATTGGGTAAGAGGGGAGGGGAGGGGAATCAAGGATATCGTGAGGAGATGGGGGACAGAGACAGGCGTCTCTCTTCTCACAAAATGGGTCACTGGCTAACTGTCCAGGCGTCCTTGTGACCCTGAATGTCGACACAGCCATGATTCACTTCTGATATGTAGGACAAGAATCTGGCCAAATTGGAAACCTTGGGAATGGTTTTACACACTTCAATTGCGGGTATCATACATGTACATGGGATGTTTACCAAATAATTTTAGGTCGCAGGGGTTTGCATAGTTCACGATTTCTCTTTCATTCGTATTCTCGTTTCGAAATTTTATGGTAATGATTATTTGAATGGTTCAACGTTTTCACGGTATGATTGAACTTGCATGGATTCGCGCGTGAATCACTTTCACATCCGTGACGAGTTTGCACGAGTTCCTCATCAGCTCGAACCAGTGGTGTGCGGTGAGGCTAGCTTAATGCGTTGCACAGCATGAGCTTCGACTGTGGTATTCTTGATTTTCCCCTCGCTTCTTTTTTTTCGTTTTTTAAGCCTGCGTGATATCCAATCAAAGATAATTCGGGCATTATCTTTAGTCTAATGCCAACTGTTTTGGCGCTACGACTGAGCCTTGCCGTTGCTTCCTTGTGTAAAATCCCAGTCCTGAATTTCCACTTCACTGTTCTCGGAAGCGGAACGACCCAGCAGGGCATGATGCCGAACCGAATGGCGTGATGCATCGTCTGATCGATGATAATAATCCAGCTCCTCCCCTCCATCAAGAGACAGCTTGAGTGCAATTACAGGCGTGTTGAAGGCTCGTGCACCTGAGGTGCAGACGGAGTGTTGTTACGCGTGACTTGCCTTCACTCTGTCTTGATTTTTCATAAGGTGTAGTTCTCCTTCTCCTCGCTAGATGTCTATAGACGTCTAGGTCTTCCTTCGACTGTAGGGAAGATATTTGAATGTGGGACAAGGGATAAGCTGACGAAGTAAAGTGCAGCCCTAGGGTTATTGAAGCTATACAGGGCGTCAAAACACCTTATTCTCCTGCTATGCAAAGAATATGATGCAATGGAGGAAAGCAGTGCTTTAGTCATCATTCCTTTCAAGAAGAAATCATTCCAGTAATCAATCATATGTATTTCGCCTCCCTTGACTGTCTTGCAGTTCTTATTCTGCCAAACTCGCATAAACGTCTTCATAATTCCTGTTCCAGTTCGCCTGAACCCACTCCTTTGACCTTCCAATCTTTCCTGATCTTGTTGATAAAGTCTCGTGTCTCACGGAAGGCAATGGCGCGTGAATTCTACTTCATGCCCTGGTCTTTTCCCTATCACTGAACTTTCCAGCTATAACACTTGAATATCTAAAATTAGAGACTTAAATCCTTTGTTAAACGAGTAATTTTAAGGTACTTTTAACCGTGTATATCCTTGTCCAATGGTTAGAGGTGAGGAGAGAGAAGTTTTTTTTGACGCCCTGTAGTGCCTACTATTTTATGCCATTCTGCAGCGATTTTCCCTCTGAATATGTATTTTCGGCATTCGGCCCTATGTTTGTACCACCTGTTGCTTCCCAACACCTGACGTATTCTTTAGTCAATGGCGTAAATGACGGGAAAATAAGCTCGATTAAAGCTGAAAAATTCCCAGGTTTATACCAACAGCAGTGACTCCCGTTTGAGCCCATGTTCCGCGTCTCATTTCCAGTCCCCTCAATCAGACAGCCATCTCTCCATCTGCCATCAGCTGTGGAAGTAACCAGCTGAGCTGATTGTTCTCATTAGAGGAAAGCACGCGACCAGAACGCGCCCTGAGGTCGGAAAAAAAAAATTGAGCTCGCCTCTTCTTAAATTTGCTCCTCGATATATGTGAATTGTATGTTTAATGTTTTGCGCAGTTTGAACTTTATTTCATGTAGAGTATAATGATTTTTTTTTTTTTTTTTTTTTTTAGCGGGACTCTTTCCCACGGAGGAAGGAGGCCATATACACTCCCGTCCTATCGGTATGCTTATATTCCAACTTCGTTGTCAGGCGCCAAGTCAAAACTATGGTCTGATCGCCGTGTAAATTATGAGGACGATACGGGGAGGAGTCAATTCGTGTCATGAAGTTTGGGTCAAAGCAGAATCTTTATCACAAGTGTTACATTTTGGCGGTTCTTGGCATGTAGGGCAAAGAATGAAATGAAGGGTAGGCATAGGGATGGACGTTGGACGAGAATACGCCGCTTCTCCCACTTGTCCTGCACTCAATCCTCCATTCCCCATCCCTCTCCAGCTACTTCCCATGACTTAAACTACCCTCCACTCTCCTTCACCAACTTTCTCCCCTGGCCCTGCAGTTCCCTCCACCTTCCTTCCGCCATTCCAACAACACTTACAAATTTTCTCCCTTCTTCAACACCCTCGCTGCCACGTGAGTCACCGGTTACTCGCAGGAGATTTACTTTCTACCACCATGTATCCCCCGTGGCAGTGAAGGTGTTCAACAAAAAAAAAACCCTTAATCAAGAAATGAATGGTGGTGGTCAATTTGCAGAATGTGATTGTATTCCATTAGTTTACGAAAATGAAATCCGTCTCTAGCGACAGGTGACCTACTATTATGGATTGGTTTGCTCCGCTTGTTCCGGCGAGGTCAAGCTATTTTCTGCTTGATATAGAGTGGATTTTTGAACAGAGCACTGACCGATATGCAACTTTATTTTCGGGAAAAATGCGCTATATTTCCTGAAAATAAACCTGTGTTATCGAATGGTGCTCCGTTAAAAAAAAAATCCACCCTTAGAGTCTCACAAAGGCCTTCCATAGCAAGTGTGCTTCGATTTCAATCCAAGTCCCACGCACGCAGCACTTGAAAATTCCCCTCTCCATAATGGGCACCGGTATTGTTCCTAATCGCAGGATTATGCATCCTGCATTGTGCAACACCTGTCACGAAGCCATAATCAACGGGTGTGTATGTGTGTGTGAGCCCCTGCCGAAGAACGTCGTCATCTTGGGTTATTTGGGACCCGACCTTAACGATCATGTACGGTGGTTTGGGATAGACACTGTAGAATATAACTCCACCGAAGAACCAAGTGGGTTTATTTTTTGTACGAGGAAGGTTCCGGTCGGGTGAGGAATTCAAGAAGCCGATTATGGATTTACTTCCCCGGCATGGGGTTAATAGACTGCAGCATTTGATGGATGATGCAATCACGATGATGAAGATGAGCATCACTCGAGTCAGGTCTATCTAAATCAAGAAGGACAGAGCACCCTCCGTTTTTTAATGATAGAGTCTTTTTTTTAATGATAGGGTCTTCTTTTTTCTCCCATTCTTGATCCGGAAGCCGAGAGATCAGGGATTGAGCAAGTCGGGCTATTGTGTGCATTGGGAATTCTCATGTCGTGAGGGCTCGACCTCATGGAAGATCCCAGGTGCACGCTGGCCATAAGCCTTTTTCTTCTCCATCTGCCTTGGGGACATCATGAGGAAGGTAACCCAGATACTCGCTTCATCGTGATTTCCCCCGGGTTTCCCATTATCACCATGGAATTGCCAAGCCCCCATATCTGCATGGCGTGCGATGCACGGAGTCCTCCCACCCTAAAAACGAGGCAGTTAAGCGGCTATACTTCACTGATATTGTGGCATTATGTCTGTCGTTATCGGCGGACAATTTCGCGGGGGATGATGAGAGGAAGAAATGAAAAAAAAAGACATCATCCAAGCCAACAGCAGATGCTCACGTCGAACACTGGATTGCCCCCCGACCGAGCCTGGAAATAACAGAACAGATTCCTTCATTAACGGATCCCAGTACATTTATTATGTACGCACCCAACCCAGTATTGTCGACATGGGACCGTTACGTTTTCTCCTGATGATCCCATAGAACGACGTCCAAGTTATAATTGAGGCCTTGGGTACACATCAGGATCAATGCCGAGGATATGCATCGAACCCCTGATTTATGACTCTCGTTTCATTATTTCCTCCTCGGGCTTTGTCTTTGTCGTCAGCTCGGATACCACGGAGGCGATGGAGTGCAACGTCCCGATATTACTCTGCTTCCTCGTTGGACATATCTAATAGAGCTCTATGGTTCAATGTCCTCGTTAGTCGAGATGATGCAGCAGCGGACTCAATTATGTCGCCATGGATAACCCTTCTTGTCCTCATCTGCAAAGAATGGCATGTCCCGTAACTTCCTCA